CTGTTTCCTGGTCTGCTGGTGCTGCTTCTTCTCCGCCTGACCGCCCTGCAGCCCACTGATCAGCTCTGCTCTGCTGCTGTCTTACATCTCCGCCTCCGTCCACTGACGCTCCATCCACCAGGTCTGTGACCCTTTGTCCGTCCTCCACACCTCCATTCGCCTTTCAAAGATGATCTCCTTCCTCCTGATCATTGGATTTAACTCTTGTGTAGGTTCGGTTACCATATTTTCTTCTCATTTATACTTGTTCTTATGTCTTCGAAAGTACCCTCAAAGAATCTCTGTACGAAGGACGTACGCACTCATCACTGTCAGCGCCACTTTCTTATCGATCCGTAATCTCCAACAGGACTGAAAAAACCCATGAGGGAATCTCCTGCCAGGCTCATAATCCCCCGGGACAAGCCACCCAGCTCATATCATGCTAAACTTATACTAGCGCGTCATGATCATGCCTATAAGAATGAGAATCATCTAAAGTCCCCAGGTACTGCCTTGCAAGTCCTATGCTGGTGTGTTCAGCTGAGTGAACCAATCCTCTCTGGGTAGCAACGGAGCAGAAAGTGGAGGAGACTCTTAAACGAATTACACTCCGAGTTTTCTGTTCCCTCAAAGGGGAATCCCTTTCTAGTCGCTAACGCCAGCAAATATGAGAAGCATCCATGGTCCCCGAGTACTACATTCTCCATCTATCTTTCTATCTATCTATTTCTATGAGGGCAGCCAAGAGATTTAGATAAGGTCTGGGGGACTCATTTCTGCACTGAAAAGCTGTGCAGTGGAGATAAACTCCTTCTTCAGTTTGTTCGGATTTCTAGAAAAGGAAAACTGCGAGAATTGTATCCGATCTACGTTGGACGCAAAGGTTGAATAACACCAGATCTAGTCCAAGTTAAAACTTTATTACCAGGAAGAAAGTAAAGCTGCTACGTTACCTACACTTCTTGATTTAGTAGGGGTGATCATGACATTCCGAAGACATTGTCATTCCAAGTGACAATGATGCGTGTAATCTTAAGACATTCAAAAAGGCGAGACCTATAAAGTGTACCGCACCTGATGGATTCAGAGGATATTTCATGTTATGTAATCTGTTTGTGGGGTGGTCCTTTCGTACTCAAGTGCTCTCAAGCAGAGAATGAGGAAATAGAAAAAGGCAAACTGAAGGAGATTTTGTAAGAGTATCAAGTGTCCATACTCCGTGTGCGAAATTTGTGCTCATACTTTTCTTGAGTGACATACATACTTGCCCCTCATCATCAATGAAAGGGAATGGAATATGTGTAAGAATCTTACAAAATGGTGAAAGATGAAATCCTAGCTTTTGTGTGTCTGCGTTGATCATTGAAACTGAACAAACAATCATACTTCCGGAGTCTCTGTTCGAATTATCGACAAGTTTCTGTTGGACCAACACCAAAGTTTCTTTCTGTAAGGTCAATCAATATTTATGTCGCCTGGATAACATTCCACACAGGTATGACCATTTATAGTTCGTGGTACGTACAATAGTGTTCAGCACATAGCTGAGGACGTCCAGACCCAGCAGTTTCTTCTCTCTGAGTAAAGGTGAATAAAAAAGTGATAGTTATCTCGTTTTAACAATTGGGTTCATTCAAAATAAACATGCAGACAGTAGTTAGAAACTAGGGCAATTCGTCCAGAGCAATAAAATATGTGAAGTTTCATATACTAAACATTAATCTGGTGATAGCTTAGGTGGACATTAAAACGCGAGATTTTTTCAACATGCTCAAATTTTGCAAAGTAAATGAAAACATGTAGATATGAAAAAAACTAATATATGAAAACTCTGATAGAAGACAACTATTGCACCATTTGGGTATAATTAAGGGGATTCTATTCTCCAATGTGAAGTTGTACAACTCGGAACATAGAATTAAGACATGCCAAACGTTCACGTATCAAGCATGACCACGTAACGTTACAGGTGTTTCTCAGATATATAGCTAGTAAGTCTTCATTTTCTCCCCTCTTACATGAATTTTGAGTCTTAATCTGCAAAATGCACCTGGCTAAACGAAAAACACGTCTGATTTGTAACTACACCTGGAGTATATAAAACCCACAGTAAAAGTATAGAGCAAAATTGAAAAGTCCCAGTCCACTATGTCTATACGCGTATTCGGCAAGGAAAATTATTTTGAAAGCAATGTGATGAAAGCAAGAATGTATTCCATTTATTCATTTGGAAGAGGCAAACAGCAAAGGACTTGGTGGAAACATCAGAGAAATGTAAAAATTCAGATATATGAATTTGAAGAGCTAAAGAAAACATACTGTACCATTTGAAACATTTCAAATAAGTTCCAAACAACTAAAATGGCAAGAGCAAGATTTGGCATCAAAATGATGTGAATGAAGAAAGAAGCACAACAGATGATTTCAACATAGAAGAATCTTATTTATGAAGCTAAAAATATATATCTAATATCTGAACAATTGACATTGCAGGCTGTCGCTTTAATTGATGACAGGCCACGAGCAATTAAATTGAAAGAAGTAGGTGAGTATACTACCCTCTGAAAATAAAAATAAAAAAGTGAAGATTTTCTTTCAGAAAGAATGTTTCAAATGTTATTGAATGCATAAAGCTTTGCCTGATTTATTGAAAATGAGCCAGCAAACATTTCAGAAGGTGGAATCTGAGGTCATGAAGAGCACCGAACCCTAAAGAATGGCATCCGAGAATAGGTTACTCAAGGAAGACATGGACAAACTGAAGTATATAACTTACAATCAATATCCACTGATAGGGATCACGTTGAATAAATCACAAGCTACATACTTGAGAGAATGACGTGAAGGCTGACACGTCCACGGGGACGCGGGGGATGTTATCGCACGTGGACCGTCCTATATATCATCAAATATAATAGCATGAACTAATGCTATGGTAGCTAGGATGTATGCAAGTTAAAAGGGATTAAACCTAGGTGCAGCTACACTGATAAGTTAAATAATCTTATAATCATGAACATTAGGTATTTAAATTGACAATCTTGAGCATACCTGTATATTCAAAGCAGTAAAAATGCTTCCTTCGATCCATCCATATTATGGAGATGTAAATAATTAAACTTAAAGTAGCTAAACATTCGAAGTTACCTTTAGCCCGAAATTGAGCTCATAAATTAGTTTAAGGGGAATATTCTCTCAAGCTTTACGAATAGTTCCTGTAATGAAGAAGCTCATTAAAACTGCCCTGTGTACAGACACATCACAACATTTTCTCAGCTGCGAGCGAGATCAGACAGGATCTTACCTTAGAGTTCAGCATTCCGGGCTAAAATAGCATAACAATGAGTCAATTCATTTCAAGTTACGTAATTCTCTATCATTGACAAGAATTAAACCTCCCTACACTTTCCTTATGATTTTTCCGGAGAAAGGGAAACCGGAAAAAGTTGGAAGGTCCATTCAGAGCTTTTCGTTGAAAACCAAAGCTTTTACTATTCATAGATATTTACAGGCGCGTGAATATTAATCGATTCATCGGATTGACTTCACAGGAATGGGCCTGGAGTCGGTTCTCTAGAAGAAAAGGCTACATCACACCGCCCTCTTTCTCAAGGTAAAGGACCTACATGTAAAATAATGGATCTACTAAGAGTTGCAATTTCAGAAACTTGGAATTTGGATCATACTTGCTGATCCAAATACGGTATTTTACAACCTACAACACTTATTGTTGTCTTGTATGCGACGTTGAACAATCCATGGGATACCTGAAGTGAGAATTCATAAGTTACATAGAAAGAATTCGAGAGAGAAAGCGTTTCACCACTTTCAGTCCGATATTTCCTCTCTCCCGAATCCCGACCCTTGCCAGTCAGAGTGCCCGCGGTAGTACTCTCATCTCACTGTCTTTTATGTTTATCAGTTACGACGACGCCACTTTAACTGTTCTGTTGTCCCTCCCTCTTTACCTCTCACCCCTCCTTAATCAGGCAATCACATTATTGCCTTCCTCCAGGGTCCATTTAAGGTGCTCGTCCACCTAACATAATCCTCTGAGCATATTGATAAATGATTGATCTATACTTGTGTTCGGAAGTGGATTCAGTCTTTTTCCGTCTTCAGAGGTCCTTAATCCTAGATTCTCGTAACTAATTTGAGTAACACCACATCAGCTGTTACTTATCATCCAGCGCTAGTGTCACTTAAAGCGATTCTGGTTCGTACACGCAGTGACGCAAGACCTCAGGGCCCGTTTCGCAGACCGTCATAAAACAGTGGAGAAAAACTTTAGAGCTTAACACGGCTCCGAACTTCCTACAATGTCAGAAGGAGTAGCCAGCTACAGGCGGGGACGAAGCATTATAAGACGTCTCTCAAAGGTTCATATTTTAAAACGAGAGAGGGAAGGATTGTGAGAACAACTGACTAGAATAGTTAAGTAGTACTGTACTGTACATCGAGTTTCAAGACAACCAAGAGGACAAAGAAATTCAACAGTATGTGTCTGAGCAAGGATTGGATGAGCTGATGATTACAACCGCAACCTTTATCATTTATGGAGGCATGGAAAGTACTTCCACATCGTTACTATCCAATAAATTTCTCTTATCGACTCACTTTTCCCAACGTCGTCAAGCGACTTTCTGCCTAGAATAACTCTTCCTTCCGTGTAGATTCTATGTACCAATAGTGTTCCAGATCCAAGACCATATCACACCGCATCGTGATTGGGTATGTATGTACTGTAGTGGGTACTAACCTTCGGCCAGATAGTCAGCCCTACCAAGGTAAAAACACTTCTGGTTTTTACGATACGGACTGAATCCTTGAGCGTAAATACCATATATATCCGAAGTACTAAACTGGAATACGGTCGTATGGTTTTTGAAAGTTAACTCTAAGGGTGTGAGTAATCTCATGTACTTTGCCCCTTTCCAGTAAATTCGTGCACGTCTCTGTCCTGGGCTCGACTTAGACGTAGGCGGGTCATATCTCAATGCCACATTTGGGAAGATGGGCTAGATTGCGCCTGTGGGGACGGGTGAGGAGTATGCAGGTCAGCTATGGTAGGGTAGTTTGCCGCTGGGTGGAGAAAAGCCCAGAGATCTCTAGCCTACCTTGAACTTCAGGAGACCAGAGTAGTGGAGGACATCCGAGAGAGAATTTCTGCTCGGAGACGTCGTGGGAGATTCACCGGTCACTCTCAGGGCGAGCATGTGTGAACGGATGTACATCCGTCGGGTCGTCCCCAGCTCATATTGAATGTATTGAATGAGCCAAGCTTAGGACTTCACGTGTACAACAAAGGATTGGACACTAAACGTGCAAGAGAGTCTCATAGAGACCCCAGTTGAAACCTGGGGATTGCAGAAGAAGACTCGAAAATCAACTGTTAGGGACGAGATTGTCCTACTACATAGGTGCCGACTTCCTCTGAGCCATGGTCGCGACAGAAAATGACAGTCTTCTGCCTTTGCCACCTTTCGCCGTGAAATTACTATGAACTTTGCTATCGATCCCCTTGTTGTCTGATGTTTTTTCACTTGGTTGTCGGCGAAGAGATTCTTGTTTCTTTCTGATCGAACTCAGAAGTACGAGACGAACGAGAAAAAAGTGCGAGAAATGAGAATAGTGAGACCAGTGAAGATATGGAGTGAAGACGCTGGGGGAAGTCTCATCAGCGGACAGTGTTAGGTTCCAGCAACTGACAGGTAAGGCCAGGACAGCACCAGGGCAGGAATGTCTACCGATCTCCATTATGTAGACCTGAATAGATCTGAGCAGCCGTGCACTTGCAGGATCTAGTCAATATGCTGTCGAGAACCTCTTTCATCGACCACAAAATCTGAATAAATACAATCTTCTCCATGATCTCAGAACGCTAGATCCGTGATTCTTGTCAAACATGGACCGAAGGTTGAAGACCATTAACCGTGATGAAATGTCATCACGGCGCAGATTACTGTATCATACTCTCCATCCTTGTGGATCACAGATTTCATTTTTTCACCGAAAGTTGCCCGCAATCTTGCACATGTATTGGAGAAACGTGAGAAGAAGAATTCACCCGCAGTACGAAGTACAATCGAATTAGCTAGTTCTTTGGCAGTGCACAAGCTCCCTCGAAGGTGAACGAATCTCCGATTCTTTCTTCTTGATAGAAAACGCGGGGACATCGTTTACTAACTTGACGAGTTTCTCCGTTGTGCCGAACATGAGGAAGTTACGTGTGAGTATCCATATTTCACTAAATGTGACGTGAAATTATAAGCAACTTAATGTCCCAACTTATATCTATAGCTGTGATATAAACACCCGAGATCTAATCGTGGATATCCAATCAGTTTCCTGGGCCCCATTTAGGCCTGCTTGATTAAATGGAGGGTCAGCACATGATACATCTGCAACTGTATCATGTTCAGGCTAATTTTTTCAGGCTGTTAAATCTTTCATGACTTGGATCTAGAGCAGATGATGAATGTAAACAATGAGTAGGCCGCGAAAAAAGCATGCGGACACGATTGCACGATGACCTTGCTGGCTTTGATGAGCCCTAGTTTGCGTAAATTGCAATGTTCGAAGTGGAATCAGTGTAGCTACGGGTCTGTTGAGCAACTTCTGCCTGCCAAAAAATGTGGAGTATTCGAGCCTCTTACCCTTTCTCGAGGTTTCGTCCGTAAGGACTGTGGATCCATCTAGCAACGTCAGAGACATAGTTAGAACGACGTTTCGACTTTGCCATATATTGAGGTATCCCAAACCCCAGACGCAACAACCAAGACACCAAAATCAGACAACGACGGTGAGTTTTTTAATCTGAGCTTAGCAACTGTTTCGCCCAGCTGAAAATAGTACTTGACAATGTTCGTTGATTGACAGGGATAGCACGTATTTTGTCCATCTGCAGACCTAGAAGGTCACATTTCTGTGAGATTGGGTCAAGATAGCCAGCAATCTTTTTGTATGACACGGTAAGAAACTGATTTTTTTCCAGGATTTCCTGTTCACAGCTTAATCACACATGTCTAGATCTTAAGAGCAAGAATATATTCAGTCACGAGAAAATCAGTTGAATCCTCAAGGAAGAATGTTTTCTAAGGTCTCATCTGACTGTATGCTGACGCTGTTCTGATCATTCATGTGAGTTTGAAGGTTACGCTGCTATGTACCTATCACATAATCAAAAGAGGTCAATGGCAAAGCTGGTGTCGCCGCACATGCCTTCGTGAAATTATCAATTACTGAGGTACTCGTGCTAACACAATCGAATGGATTGTGGAATCAGTACCGAAGTATTCACGAACTGCTGAATTTCATCGGTGCGAACTCTTTTTGCTGCAGTCACAAAATCTATGATATATTGCTATATGTTTTGTGCATAAGATCACATCTACACAATGACATTCAGTCACACATTTGACCCCACCTCAGACTAGCGATCAGATCTGCTTGGGCGGGTGAACGTAGAATATTTCGAGGTTGTTGAAGTGCCTTAAATTTACACAAATGATGCAAGTCTCTATGCTAACAGGTAACATAGATCGGACATTATCTACACAAAGCTTATAATTGTTGGGTTATAATGGACTTGAGTGTCTTCTCTTCTTCAGATTACAGTATTCAACTAAGTGGTGGAAGAAGACACGTGAATGTTTCAATATCCTCTTTCAGGTCATCTGATTAGTCTCAAGGATTCTCTTCCAAGGTCGGGATGGAATGCCCAAGCTGGGTAAAATGTACTAAGCATGCCGTCTTCTTGTACTCCTGTAATGATGCTGTTCATTTTCCGCTAGCTTTATACCTTTCAAGTGCAATGCTAACATTTATGGAATAGATGCAATGCAGTCTGATCATAGTATCGATCTACATATGACAGGTCAGTGTGACATGCAAAACGTCACATTCCATTGACGCTGTACTGTACTATTTCCTGCCTGTTCCACCCACTGATGAGGACATTCAATCATTTCCAGAAAGGAACTGTAGTTATAGATCATTCTAAATTCTATTCCAGGCCAGTGTGATTTTTACTGTATAGCAAGACGAAAGCTCTTTAATTGTAGCTTTTTTTCTCTTTTCTATGTCTTAGCATTTCATTACTGAATTCTCCTTACTTCAATCGGAGTTTCCAAAATGCTGAACAACAGGCCGTGCTACGACTGCGAGAGCATTGCAGGAGGCTGGAAGACAGGCTCTACCTCACTTGCGCGGATAATGTAGAAATGCCGAATTTGAAAACGTTGGGGAATTTATCCTAGACGTTATTATACGAATCTGTAAATCATCAGGGATTCACTTTGATTGATTACGTTGTGTCGCTGCTTTCATCAACTTAAGACAACAAGAATTGTTATAAGTGTTCCCAGGTAATCACGCAGTTGCTGGCAGCTATATTCTGAACCATGAGCAGCGTCGATCAATATTCTGAAGTTGATCTTAGAGAAAATCTTTGTCAAGGTGTCCTGGAGAGGAAATTATGAAAGTAGCATCCAAAAAATCAGTTTCAATTTCAATATTGTTTACTACAATCTTGAGATGCCTTGGGTATGAGCTCAGGCAGTTGTTTGACTCAATTAGAATGTGCACGACCCACATTTATAATTTCGACCCAGTAGAAGCTTTCACTAGCATACGCATTGGCTTGAATGTCATCCCCATCTTTGTGGATGGGCCCTGGTCGATTAGAGAGTAATCATCAAACTTCTCTCGGTATATCCAAACTGCAGAATCCTGGCTACGAATTGCTGTAGAACTACTCGGCGGTTCCTGAATTTTCGTCAGACGAAATAGTCATGGCTGGGTGTTCGGACGCCGTTAACCACGGAATTCGTTACAGGTTGGTTAAATTTTGAACTCTGAGTAATGCTATTGCCTTGGAAATGAAATGCATCTCTTGAAACATTTCGATACGTTCAATGTTGATGATTTTGACTACAGGTGAAAATTGATCATGCAGAAGATAATGCTGTCCACTATGTGCCCTTGTAAATTATAAGCGATACGTCTTTTCTTACCCTAGTCTCAGGTCGAAGGATGGAATTCGAAGCGATGGACTCCACACAAGTTGGAAGGTCAAGCCAGAAGTGGAGTCAGCAATGCTCAGCATGAGCGGCGTAAGGTCCTCAGCTTCTGAACTGATATGGTGAGTACCATGGTTGATGTGCATTTGATTAGCGTGAATGACGCAGATATTAATGGTTGTTTGGAGTTATGTGTTATAAGTGCTCCTAAAGGTTAAAATTTCGAGGTCAACCCCCTCACCGCGTTTCTCTCTGATGAACTCATGCTGCAACCCATTCCCATATTCTCCCCAACTATAACCTCAAATTGCTTCGTACACCGGTTGAACCAGGTTGACTTCCAGAGCAGATCATGAAGGAAGAGCACTAGTCATGGACTGCGGAGTTACCAACCCTACTATGAGCAAAAGAAACGGCCAGACCCACATGTCATGATTGGGTCTAATTTGACAAAATCTGCCGTTGGAGCCCAGAAATAGAATCAATAGAAAATCACACTCGGAGACAATGGATACCCAATAAAAGTGGTTCTGCACGAGAACGTTTCATCAGCCTTCTGCATTCATTCTTCTGTTTCGGCGTCCCCTAATTAGACTACATCGTTCTCTACACCCTGATAATCATCACCTCTATAAAAATATTTAGACTCACCTTTCCCATCTTACTGAGGAGAAAATGTTTAAAATTCTTCTTTACCTTTTATACCTGGCCAGGGACCTATCTTGTCAGTGGAAAAGTCACCAGCAAGCAAAAGTGGCAGCCGTTATGTCAGCGTCAACTCCGCTGGTGATAATGCACACCTACATTCAACGAGGGACGTAACCGGAATGAGTGCGGACAAACCTATGTCTTTGCATCATCATTCCTCTCTCGAAGGAGCGATGGAGGCTCATGGTAAGGTCGTAAACCAGGTAGTAATCATATCAAAACCTCAAAGAAGAATTTCGAGCTGGACTGAAGCTTTCCCGAAGAACGAATGTTTTCCTCCATGTACAGACTACTCTACGAACATGCTATTCTGGAAGCAACAGCGGTCAATTGAAAGGAGATGGACCTTAATACACTCCAGCAGGATAGCGTACTCCAATCATGGACCTCGAAATACCTAATGAGATAATCTCTATCGTGAAACGTCATTATGTTGTTTACGTCAAGAAAGTTGCACGCTTATTCTCAGATTGCGCTCGTTTATGCACCCGTTCCGACTCGGCAGCATCATTTCCACCTGCTCCATGAGTCGGCATGTCTCTATGTAAGCGACTCAAATCGGGGCAATCGTCTGTTTGTTCTTCCTTCCTACACACTGTATCTGGTTGTGATGTAGGAAGTAATATCAGTCCAATAGAAGTACTGTTAACACAAATCAATAACTAAACACGTGGAGGACTGTAATTTTAAGTCAGAGTAGAAGAAAGCTGAAGAGGAAAAAGCCAGGCGCCTATAGATTATATTTCTTCACTAATACTTGCAAACGTATCAATTTCAAAGACATATATGAAGAACCAGGGTTTGTTACCACCTAAGGTAGACATACTATCCCATGTCAAGGCACAAGCTGTGCATGCATTAGGGAATACTGGACACTCGTACACAAGCTAACCAACAACTAGCAACGGAAATGTTAAAGTCAATCGTTGCAAGAGAAGATGTTACTTCACTTCCAAAATATACACAATTATCATGATGTGGACCTAAAAATAAAAAATAAAAAAAAATAATGCCAGCTAATCTTACAGCCTTCGACCAAACACACTTAACATCCAAATTTATATCAAATCTTTTCATTGAAAGTCAATAGCTTCCATGAGTATGTAGTATGGTTTGATTTATCTTATGAACTTCCAGGCTTGGCATGCCTTTATATCCCATAGAGTTTTTTTGGTGGTAGCTTACTTCCGTTTTAAGTAAACTTCTTGTCAGCCGTTTTCGCCCTACATGGATCCATATTATAGTTTACAGGTCCGTTGTTTAGTTGTTCTCCTGCCAACCCGTGATGACTTCTGTACATGTATTGGCGATTCATCTTTCTTAAGAATTAGAATCATTCAAAAACTAAGTCAAAGAATAAGAAAATCCTCAGCAGTAACCTAAACAATTACTTTGAATTATTTTTACCAAAATTTGTGATTACATCTCCAAAGTGATCATTTGTTGTTTAAAAAAAAATTTTGTAGGTTTGAGTGTGTCTAAAATACAGACCGAGAGTAAGATCGTAAACCACCCCCCATTCTATTTAAAAGTAGTCCATCAACTTTATCAGAAAATGCTATACTTTTCCACTGCAAGATTCCATAGGCATCTAATATACCACCTTAATATACAAATCAAGAGTTCACGACGTGCAATGCTAGACCCGCATGCTAAGAATACAATTAGAAGGTTATTGCGTTGGTGATATATAGCTATCTTTCAATTTCTCAACTTTGAAAGGAAGCTGTTTTGGTAGTATCTTGTTGAATAAGTAAATTCATATATATATATATATATATATATATATCTCGATCCATCCATCCATCCACCGACTGACTGGAGAAACTAGTTCAAAAATTTAAACAACTGGTTAAATTTTTATAACAAATTACGAAAGGAATTATAGGTGTAGTGTAATCGATAGGTAGTCTAATGTGGAATGATAAGAAAATCTCCAATTTTTTTTCACATGAAACTGAACAATCTAGGAGAACACTACGACCCACTCTAGAGAAAATTTAGATGATGCATATCTTGTTCATGCGATAATACCACACGGAGCTCTATCAGATGCATTTGTAACACTTACACAATGACAAAACCAATCTTGAAAAGCCTAAAATATGCGAGGAAGAAATCATGTTGAAAGAGAAGAAGCACCAACCAGCCCGGGATAGAAACCAGGAGAGTGAAGCCCACGCTGGTGACGTTTAGCAATGCTACTCTAAGTATTCAAAGTATTTAAGTCTCCTTTTTACAGGTTGGCCACGATGACTCGAAGTGAGGTACCAGTCCTGAAGCTCTAGAGAGTGAGAAGCGAGAAGCAAGGGTCAAAAAGGAGCTTTCACTCCGGCATTTGGGGGTTTAAATAGAAGGTTCTCCCATTGAGCTAGTCTAGCCCCCCATATTGTGTTGAATGATGTTTTCAAATGTCCTTAAATATCTTCTAGTTTGCTGATTGGATCTTTTCATTTCTTTCTCGGTATTCATCGACAAATGAGTGTCAAGTATCATGAGATATCGAGATTTTCAATCCCAATCTTGAGGTTTGAGATTCTTCGTTCTTCGATAAAAGAATGAAAAATAAAAGGAAAAGTAGAAAGTGATTAAATGTCAAGGCCTTTGAGTGCCATTGATGTATGTATTTCAATTCTCAACAATTTGTGTGTATGTAACGAAACTAGTGGAAATACTCTCTTTCACATGAAGAAAAGATTGATATATGCAATTTTGTTGATGTTTCTCGAAAAACTGTGAACTTATTTGAGCCATATAATGTGAATGAATGCCGTTGTTACATGATGATAAAATATTTTTAATATTGAGCTTCTTACTTTCTGTCAAGTTTACACTGTGTTGAACTATGACCTAGATTTGTCGCCTGTAAAGGTTGAAAAGTACAAAACTGAGTCTCTTGAATATTAAAGGAATTCAGGCAAGGAAAATTTCTGGGGAAGTCTGGTTCTCACTCTGTTTAATCATTTTGGAATTTTGGAGCCGAAAGACCAAAGTTATATGTTGTATGGAGAATTCAATAAGTGGGTACAACGTGCAATGCACAAAGGTCACACATTACACAGACCCTAGGGAGACCAACGAAATCTACACACTGTTTACATTGTCAAGAAGACTTCAAGTGATATCTGCTGTTAGACCTATTATGGATTCAACCTGAACAATTATCTCTTTACTCATGGAAGATACCCCTTATTTCTTTCCATTGACGTATGATTCTTTCTCTCATATAGACAACAGTTTACTGGAGTCGTTCATATTGTTCTGTTTTGTTCACATAAGTTGCGTATAAAGTGACAGCATGAACGCCAAAGGCAACTTGTGAAGAACCTGTGTCAAGATATATAGAAGACGTTGTTCTAGCCCCTTAAAACTCTCTAAGCGTTCAGTACACAAATTGATTCCACGCTAGTTGACAGCTTGACAAACTCGTCAAGGTGTCAACTAACGTGGTGTTATTAACATCAGCATTCTAAATACTCTAGCAGTCAGCCTTCCAACATATTTAATTGGAATCTTAGCCCAATGATTTTAGCTCGGTTGTGTTTTCCGATTAAAAGATCCCCAAAAGAACATTCTTTCCACATTTCTTGCACTTTCAGTACAGTAGTGCGAATCTGACAAGAAGATGATAAACAGGAATCAAAGGAATTCAAACAACGGTCCATTAAAAAGACGAATTTAACTTTATCTTGACTGTTTCAGTAAATTTGGAAATATTACTTCAAGTCTTGAATATGCCTTTCATGAATGGGATAAAACCTAGACATATTTGTATATCTCGTGGTATCCACTGTGAAAAAAAACGTAACGTTCCTTTATATGGCTCCATGCGTCAAGTCTGCTTGTTTTTCCTCTCTTGAAAATTGCAAATGGTGTAATGAAAATAATAAAGAGGAAAGCTTCCCTTATAATGGTTCCTTAATATCTGGCGTTTTGAAGCACCTAGACAGGAATTGATGGTTTGTAATGGACTTGACTGAAGCAATCATTTAGTCCATTCATTCATTTGCTACGTTTCGACTCAGGCCGTCTGCACATGTCTGCATGGACTGAAGAACTACAAGCGACTAAGAACGACGATTAAAACTGCCGCAGGCATAGATCAACTTGGTTTCTTATTTATGCTTGGTATTCACTCTTTATGGCATCAGTTCGTACAACCCATTCACTAATGCATCTTATGAATCTGCCCTCACTAAGGTCAGATACAATTTACTGCTACCACTATATTTTGAAAGGCCTGTCCCACTGGATACCGAAAATCGTCACTGAAAAGTAAAATATGATATAATATGTTCAGGTCAAGGACTGTTGTCTTTGGATCTTCAAGAGAGCTCCCAATTATTTTCTTCACCTTCCACATAGCTTAATTCACCCCATATAAATGCTATGGAAGATTGCATCCTACAAGTTATTATTTTTATAAAGCACGAAAAATAAATATTTTCTGCATTCATTGGTTGCATCCGTTGAGAATTATCGAAGCTATGTACATCAAATATCACACAACCAAAGATCATTTTTACAAAGTGCACTATTGTTTACTCGTACAGATAGATGCACATGGACAAAATGAACTTCAGCGAGAGGTTCTTGGAAAAAGTATATTTTCCTATTTCTAATAACAGATATTCTTACTTTTGTTTCAAAGAGAAAGTTGAATCACAATCTTAGTCAAAAGGTCCAGCTATCCTTAAAAAAATACATAATACATATGTCAATCATATATTAGAGACAAAAATTACGGCTTCTTATGTTGGGCTCTTGAGATAACCTCATATGAGAGAAAGAGTGCATTTCATATGTTGAATTATGTTTTCAAAACTTCGAACCGGATACATTACTTGCATGTCAAGACAAACCAACAAGTAATGAAAAAGTAATCAAATAGATGTAAAAAAATAAAATGTGTAGTAGCATGAAAAAGTGAAGATCCATCCCACGGACATTTTTCCTTAATTTGAAATATTATAAATTGAGATGAAAAATTTTGTGCTTGTTGTTCATATTAAATTTTTTATCATAAAGTCTTCAAAATAATATTTCCTCATATTTCCTAATGTCATTGTATCATTTTTCAACATGTAACATAACTTTATATATCTATAATATTCGTTTTTGTGAAAGTTGCTTGCATTTTCTATTTTGTATATTATGAAATTTATGAATAGTATGAACTCCAAGAATCAAAAGTTTTTCTTTTGAGGCTATCAAGATACTATTTAGCATTATGAGTACTTGATAAGATATCATACCTTAATACTTACTATATAAATACATTATGCATCTTATATTTATGTTATGCATGTGTCGAATTATTGTATGCAATTTGAATAGATACTGTCAACTTCATGCTTAATATGTATGCATTCTGTTTTTAAAATTATAGAACTTAAAAATACTTATTGATATATTTTAATGATATATATATAAAAAAATGAAGGCTACCTACAAAACAAGAGGAGTTTGAAAAAATGAAAGGTTAATTTAAAGCTAAGATATA